TGCTGGGTGGTTGCAGCAGGTTTTGGTCACTTCACATGACCCTGGGACACTGTGACCGTCATAAATATGAATCAGTTGCCAAGCATCTGAATGTAAATCACAAGACCCTGGAGATGCTGCAACATTCCAGCTGATCGGCGCTTCTTCTGGGCTCAGCGGAAGCACCAGGATCAGCGCCGAGCTCCAGCTGGAGCCTGGCACTGATCCTGGTGCTTCCACTGAGCCCTGACAGCCCCGAAGAAGCACCGATCAGCTGGAAAGCAGCACTGATCCTGGTGCTTCTGCTGAGCCCTGACAGCCCTGCAGCTCCAGCCGTCTCTCGCTCAGGCTTGTGCGGTGTTACCACCAGTTCAGCTCATTCCCCTCCCCCGCTACCACTTTTCTAGGATGGTCACGTACCACCTGCCAGGTGCCAATGTACCACAGGTGGTACCCGTACCACTGGTTGAAAAGTCGTGGCCTAGAATTCCTGGTCTCCCAGTTCCTAATCTAGCATCTTAACCTCTAGACTAGTGTTTTTCAAACTTGGCCACTTTAACATGTGGGGAGTCAACTACTCCCTTATGTGGGTTGGAGAATTTGGCGAGTTGACGTCCACATATCTTAAAGTGGCCAAATTTCTCCTCAGGACCCCACTATAGGGTATTGCATGCCAAAATGACTAGACACGGTTCCCCCCCCCCCCCCAAGCTATCACTCTGCTAAACACCTAATTCCCACGGGACTGTCTTATGCCTAAGGATTTTGAATCATGTACAAGTAGTCATCAACTTGCAATAGTTTGTTTAGTGACTGTTTGAAGTTACAACATCACAAAAAAGTGACTTATGACCGTTGCAGCATCCTCATGGTCACATGATTTAAATTGGGATGCTTGACAACTGACTCTCATTTACGATGGTTGCAATGTCCCGGAGTCATGTGATCTCCTTTTGTAAACTTCTGACTAGCAAAGTCAATGGGGAAACCAGATTCACCTAACAATTGTGTTACTAATTTAACAACTGCAGTGATTCACTTAATAAATGTAGTAAGAAAAGTTGTAAAATGGGGCAAAACTCACTTAACAAATTTCTTACTTAGCAACACAAATTTTGGGCTCAATTATGGTTCTAAGTTGAGGACTACCTGTATTATCTTTCTCACCTTTCCTATTATCTACTCCTGTTGGTATCTTATGACTATCACTTGTTGGTTGTATCTTATGATTTATGATTGTATCATATGATGTATTATTTAGCACATTGTTGCTTGCATATAGATTTAGAGCTTATGCACCGGAGACACATTCCTTGTGTGTCCAGTCACACTTGGCCAATAAAGAATATTCAAATTCCAATAATTTGAAGAAGACTATACCAAACTGACTCAATTTATGGACTTCAATTCAATTAAAAACCTTTCATTTTTCAAGATCATAAAGATCTTTAAGCCTTATTTTGTAATTGCTTATTGGATTAAGTTTCCAAGTTTTCCCACTGTGGAAGTTCATTGAATTGCATCTCAGAGCATCCTACTCATAGGGCTGGCTTTCTGGAAAGTGTGAGGGAGGGAGAGCTATACGCTTTGTAAATAAATTTGGATCCCTCTCTTTAAAGCTTCCACTCTCTGATTCTTGTCCCACCCCCTCTTAGCATGTGGCTGCCATCTAGTGGCCACCTGAATTTTTGTAGCCTAGATTTCTTGCCCCTCTTCAGTTGACCATATTTACTTATTTGTATCCCAACTTTATTGTTTTTACAAATAAGGTGGCAAACATAATCCAATGCACCTTCCTCCTATTTTCCCCACAACAACAACCTGTGAGGTGGGTTGGGCTGAGGGAGGGACTAGCCCAAAGTCACCCAGCTGATTTTCGTGACTAAGGCAGGATTTGAACTCACTATCTCCCGCTTTCAAGCCTAGTGTCTTTGGGAAATAATGTAGATCCAAATCAAGCAAACCACATTATGACTAAGTGAGATTCATGAACCCAAGCCTGTGAAACATGTAGGTTTGGGGTGAATCCTGCAAGTAATTCTGTTACTGCCGATGGAATTTGAGACCCCTTTGTGTGCAAGCCGCCTGGACAATACGAAAGGTTCAGATCTGTTTTCATTGTGACAGCCAGACAGAATGTCAAGCTACAAACTATCAAGAAACCCACCAGCTTAGCTACCAAGTCCTCCTGCTTTCCAAGCCAGCACCTAATCCAGCATTCTAGCTGCAACTTCAAACTTAGATTCTTTGTAGTCCTTCAGCTTGAGAACTTTCAAGTGCAGAGGCCAAGGAGAAGCAAGATGTTTTAAATATAAAAGCACCCAGCTCACCTTCCTGATTTGCCAGCAACTGATCTCATTTCAGATTATCTACATGAGTGTTTTCTCTCTCCAGGACTCATCTAAAATCAGGAGTGGAGTACACCCATAAGTATCTCTCAATGTAATACAAATATCCTTCAAATTTTTATTGAAGTAGTGTGCTTCCAATATTAATATCTTGGATCAGCCATGGAAAATCACTAGATCAGGCGTCTTCAAACTTGGCCCTTTTATGACTTGTGGACTTCAACTCCCAGAATTCCTCAGCCAGCATGGCTGATTGAGGAATTCTGGGATTTGAAGTCCACAAGTCATAAAAGGACCAAGTTTGAAGACCCCTGCACTAGATGAATTTGAGTTTATTTATTATTTATTAAATTTATATACCACCCTATCTCCCTTACGGGACTCAGGGCGGTGAACAGGCGATACTAAAAACCACGATAATAAATAAATAGTTTCTGTTCTAAAATCGAATTAAATAACAGGCCTGTTCTAAAAACACACCCATACAAAAAAACCCCACTGAAACATAATCAAACTACGCCAGGCCGGCCGCCCGGAATAGATGGGCCTTCATTTGTTTGTCTCAGTTTTCCAATAGCAGCATTGAAAAGTTCCCCAGCCCCCCCAAAATGAAAAATAAATAAATTCGTGAGGTGATCAGGTCGTGGGGAGGCAGTGGTGGATTTCTGTTGGTGTAATATCCTGATAATGAGATTATTGCTTCACTCACAAAACATATAACATGTGGTCCAATCTGTCCTCGTGCTTTTGGCTGAAAACTCTTCCCTTCCCCCCATTTTTTGTGTTGCAACCTTTGTGAAAGGTTGACTATTATGTGCTGCCGTGTACAATGCGTTTCAAAGTTGTCGCACTGATTGCTGTACATCATGTGAGATGTTACTGGAGCAAAACACTTGCTACTTATGTAATTTGGGACTTTGGGCCTCTGTTTTTCTTCCATCTCATTGAAACACTTGAGCTCCACTTAAGCAGAAGGGAGTCTGCATTCCTTTTGGCAGGAATTACCGCCAATTCTCATCTCCTGATATGGCTCTCCCCACCTCTTTCCTCAAATCCTTGCACCCCATGCTGCAGGCTTTTTGATAATACAGGTAGTCCTCGAATTACAACAATTCATTTAGTGACCGTTCAAAGTTACAACAGTACTGAAAAAAGTGACTTATGACCATTTTTTTACACTTATAACCTTTGCGGCATCCTCGTGGTCATGTGATCAAAATTAAGAGGCTTGGAAACTGACATGTACTTATGATGGGTGCAGTATCCCCAAGTCATGGGATCACCTTTTGTGGCTTTCTGACAAGCAAACTCAATGGGGAAGCCAGATTCATTTTACAACCTTGTTACTAACTTAACAACTGCAGTGATTCACTTAACAATTGTGGCAAGAAATGGGGCAAAACTCCCTTAGCAACCATCTCGCTTAGCAACATAAATTTTGGCCTCAATTGTGGTCCTAAATCAAGGACTACTTTTAATACTGTATTAATAATAATAATTTAACAGACAAATTATTTTTCTTCCTTGCTTTAAAATAACCCATTGAGATTGACTGGAAGTGCACAAACTGTCTCTAGTCATTTTCACACCTGCTTCATGCAAGAACAGTTTTAGGAATGAAGGGATTATTTAGGGAGGCAAGGGCAGCTTTATGAAAATGCCCTTTATGTTGTGTCTCCCCGAAATATGTTTGCATCCACCTCTGTTTAGAGAATGAAGTTTGAATAAGGAAACGGAAAACAGTCACGAATGTTATTTCCCCATCTAAAGTATAAATCAGGGGTCTTCAAACTTGGCCTTTTTATGACTTGTGGACTTCAATTCCCAGAATTCCTAAGCTAGGCACGCTGGCTGAGGAATTCTGGGAGTTGAAGTCCACAAGTCATAAAAGAGCCAGGTTTGAAGACCCCTGGTATCAAGTGAATAACAGTTTCTATAACATTCAACTCACACAAGTTATGCAGGTGGTCCTTGACTTATGACCATTTGTTTATTGACTGTTCAAAGTTACAACAGTACTGAAAAAAGTGACTTACAACCAGTCCTTGCACTTATAATTGTAAAAGCATCCCTACCGACACGTGATCAACATCCTGGCACTCGGCAAGCAGCAGGTATTTACAACAGTTGCCGCATCCCAGGATTGTGTGGTCACCATTTATGACTTTCTCAGTTGGCTTCTAACCTTTAAAGTCAATCTGGGAATCTGGTTTCACTTTGATGATCACATAGTTCATTGTACTGCAGTGATTTGCTTAAGAACGGTGGCAAAAAAGATCATAAAAACTGGGCACAATTTGCTTAACAACTGCCTTGCTGAGCAATGGAAATTCTGGCCTTAGCTGTGGTTGTAAATCAAGGACTACTTGCATGTAAATTGCAAATCCTTTGTATGCTTCAGTTATTGAGGAAAAGGAGCCTGGGATAAGTCGTCTTAGAGATAAAACTAATGTATCAAAGGGGCTCAAAGCTCAGGGAATTTGCCCAGACCGTATTTCCTAAAGCCACTGGAGCAGACATGTCAAACACAAGGCCAGGGGGCCGGATGCGGCCCGCGAAGTGGTTTCATGTGGCCCGCGAAGCCATCCTGGAAACAGTGAGGGAACGGCCCCCACTGCCTTGGCCCTGGCCCAGGCCAGCCGGGAACCAATGTACAATTTTGTGGTGGCCATCTATGCTGAAACGCATTCAGTCTTAGCTCCACAAGGCCGTCCGGAAACAGCGAGGAACCAGCCCCTGCCGCATTGGACCCACCCCCTGGGTGCATGCTGGGGAGGTGTCACCCTTTGTGAGGAATGAAGAAATGGACCATGCCTTGGCGCTTGCCCTGGTCCCACCCCCTTCTGCCAGAGACCCTCAGATCTGTCCCACTCCTGCCCAGGCCCCCACAGGCACCCTTGACGCGAACAATGTAGAGCTGGCCATGCCCACCCAGTAGGCCACACCCACTCCATCCATGCCCACCCAGTAGGCTGCACCCACCCTGGCCACACCCACCGGGCCCCCCAAGGGCAACCGCAGTGCTCAATGAAATTAAGTTTGACACCCCTGCACTGGAGGATATAAGTCTGTCACTACCTTTCCTGAGGATCAAAACTTTCTTCAATTGGCTTCAACAGACCACCAACCTATCTATAGCCTGATTAGATCAGACACATTTGCTGAAGCGTTTTGTAGTGGCTGAAGGGCTATATGCGAAAGCCTGCAAGCCTAACTGAATATCTGAAGATTATAACCCGGAGCTGCCAAGTCCTATCTTTCATTAGTTTGTTTAATTCTTTCACAGCTAATGGTCACCAGCAGACCATGAAGAAATAACTCCCATGGTTGGATGATATTCTCCATAAAACAGCATCAGCCAAGGGGTTATAAAACAATGCTACAAATGCAGAGCATAGAAGAGATTTCAAAAAACATTGCCCTTGCCCTAAAAATGTCTTGGATTCAGACTGGAGCCAAAGTTAAACAAAAGAATAATGTCATGGATACAAGTAAGCATAACAGCCAAACATCACAATTCTGCTTACCTGCTTACCTTTTTAGAAACCATTTTTCAGGGGTTCCACTAAAAGAACCTTAGATGTATGACAAGATTTTGTTATGGAGTCTAAATTTATTTTTCCAAAATGCATCAGAAAAAGTACAGAACATACTTGTAAGGGTAGAAGTTCCCAGTCCAGGAAAAAAACAATAAAACTTCTGTCTCAGTTCATGTATCAGGATAAATTATGGGTACTTTGCTGATTTTGGCTTGTTGCGCTGAATGCTTAGCTTATTGGAGACCACAGTTTAAATTTCATGCAGTGTGTAAATATAGCCAACTCTGGCTTGTTAAGTGACTCCCAGTGTAGCAGAATACATAAACCCAAGCATCAGGCTTATTATAAAAATGTTCACTCAGGGAGAGGGAAAAAAAAATTCCAGGTTTGGATATTCTCCTCACAATTGGGCTGATTAAAAACAGCACACAATGCATATGAAGTTGAACATAGTTTTTGAACGTGATTTTGAATACGGAAACAGCCAGTAAGGATTCTTTTGCATTTATTCATCCAAAACAGAAGGACATGGCTTAAGATATTCACCAGACCACCAATTTCCTGAAAGGAATATCAAAAAGTAAAGTGGTCCTCAACTTACAACAGTTCATTTAGTGACCATTCAAAGTTACAACAGCACTGAAAAAAGTGACTTATGATGTATGAATGTTGCAGCATCTCCATGGTTAGGTGATCAAAATTAAAATGCTTGGCAACTGATTCATATTGATGACGGTGGTGGTATTCCTTTTGTGACCTTCTGACAAGCAAAGTCAATGGGGAAACCAGATTCATTTAACAACCATGTTACTAACTTAACAACAGCAATGATTCACTTAACAACTGTGGCAATAAAGGTCATAAAATGGGGCAAAACTCACTTAACCAAAGTCTCACTTAGCAACATAAATTTTGAGCTCCACTGTCATCGTAAGTCGAGGACTACCTGTATAGTTTCACATTCCTTCTCCAAAATAGGAGCATTTTCAAGAACCAAAAGTTAGTGATGAAACCTTTGCTGTAGATCAGGGGTCTTCAAACTTGGCCCTTTTATGACATGTGGACTTCAACTCCCAGAATTCCTCAGCCAGGCACGCTGGCTGAGGAATTCTGGGAGTTGAAGTCCACAAGTCAAAAAAGGGACAAGTTTGAAGACCCCTGCTGTAGATGATCACTGAGGCAGAGATAAGATTTATACATTTTACTATTTTTTTTAATTGGAAACAAAGCATAGAGGAAACCTAAGAATGAGGGGAATAAAGCAAAGCTGGGGTTGGATGTTGTTCTTTTCTGAACAATGATTTCCTCTAATCCTTCTTTTCAAGAATATTTTTATTTCATTGTTTCATATTTTATTAAGTTAAGATTTCATTTATCTGACCCTTGTCTTGGCTTTAGCTCTTCTTCCTGTCCCTCAGGGTACAGGCAGCCATCCACTCATGATCGCAATGGAGCCTGCACACTGTGGTCAGAAGTTGTAATGGCCACTAAGTGAAGTGTCCGTGTGATGAACTCACTTATAAGCCCCATCCCTGTTCTCCCCAATATGGTTGTTAAATGAACACGTGGGTCATTAAGTGGAGCATCGGGTGCCTCCAGGGGAGGTCCCTGGGAGGCCTAGCATTGGCCCTTCCCAGGCCTCACAAGGCCTCTCCCACTCTGAGGTACCCGGTGCTCGGCTTTGGACCCTACAGGCCTTGGATCTACTTCCCACCCCTCCGGTCCCCACACCCTCCTCCTCACCCCACATCACCCATTACACACTTACCTCTCTCAGGCGCTGGCATTAGGGAAGCCTCTTTGTTCCTCTTTGTCTGTATGGTGTGATCCCAGAAGCAGCTGCTGTTTTGGGGGGCAGCCTGAATTGTGGGTGCTTTGAAAATGGTGGCCATGCAACCCAGAGGACAAGGTCAGCTTCTCTTAACACAAGTTCTGGACTGCTGCAAACCTCTGTGGACCTTTCCGGAGCGACCATGTGGGTGCTGCAGCAGCCACAACTTAGTGACTGGGTTGTAAGTAACATGTGTTTGGGGGTCCTCCCTAATTTTGAACGGTCACTAAATGAATGTGCTACCTGCAATTCCTTCCGCCCACTCCGGAGAGTCAGCATGCTGCCCTTTACCATTGGTGTGATGCAAACACCAGTTGTATTGATTTGCAGGTCACTGTCTAAATTCAAGATCTCGGCATAGAATAAGCTACACATTCTTCAGTTGCATTTGGGGGATCCGGGCCAAAATATGACTTGCCTTTTTATTTCCATTAGGAAGAAATGGTGCACATGGCATAACTGTGACTGATGCTGGTGCCCTTGCCTACCATTTCTCTGGGTTGCAAAAAAAGACATCATCGTTTCTGCCCTTTGTGTAATGTTGCTTACCCCAAAAGGGAGTAGCACGAAGGTTATGTATGTACGGCTTAATTATCCAAGAAGTGAGCCCCTAGTACATGGGTGGGCAATACATTTTCCCAAGGGGCCACGTAAGAAATTGGACTGTTAAGGAGGGCCAAATCAATAGGGCTGTGAAGATTCGTATGTATACATGCACACAAATACATAAATTGAAAATAAAAAGCAGTCATCTTCAAAATACGGTAAAGGCAATGCAATTGTACTGCGTGCAGGGCATATTCTTATTGACATTTGATTTCTAATTTCCAGCTGAAATTAGAAGGGGCCAGACAGGGACAGCCAAGAGGCCAGATGTGGCCCAGGGGCTGTAAAATACCCACGTCTGCCCTAGAAGTACGGTCGGTGGTGGAATTTAGAACAGAAAAATAGAAAGAGGCAAACTGAACATAATAAGCTGGATTTTACTTTATTTTTTAATTTTCATTCACCAGGGAAATGCTTAGATACTATGCCAATTTAATTATTATAAATCTCCATTCACTTTAACAGCATGATTGCTTTAAAATGATACATTACCTTTTTTTGGGGGGGGGAAAGTGACTCACGTGGACACATACACACACATACACACCGAGCTGTGCTCTAAATTAACGGTAGTCACTATGGGGAGCAGGTTTCAATACCCACCAATCCAGAGCCCCCGGTCCCCCCACTGTTTACTGGTGAGATCCAGTAAGGTAACCCTCCCGGTGTAGGGAAAGTTATTTCCTGTGTAGAGATGTATTTATACCTGAAATTAATGGGAAATCTTGCCTTGGGAAACAGATGGACAGACTGTGGGAAAACTCAGTGCATGGGAAAGATATGGACCATAAACACCTCATAGATGCCCGATGACATAGTTCATTCAAGTTCCATCATTAAGCTTAGTGTACCAACTATATGTAACACTGTGTGAGTATTGGAGCAAGCAAGAGAGTGGGAGGAAACATTTGGTAATAACCTTGCTGATTCAGACTGAAAACCCATTGAATCTGACAGCTTAGTGCAGTGGTGGCGAACCTATAGCACGTGTGCCAGAGGTGGCACTTGGAGCCCTCTCTGTGGGCACACGCGCTGTTGCCCCAGCCCCGCCTCCCTCCGCAGCCCCCTCCTCACCAGCAGCCTGCCCAGAGGAGAGGCTCTCCCAGGTGCAGCCCATGCAGAGCAGCGCAGCCAAGCACATGGCAGCTGGGCAGCAGGGGCAAGACTCCGCCCTCGCGCCCCATCACGTCCAGATGCTGCTGCGGGCGGAGGGCGTGGCTGCCATGGCGCTGCAAGGCTGCCTGGGTGATCTGTGGTAAGTGGCCCTGTGGACGGGCGGAGCAGGGGTGGAGCGGGGGCACGGGGGGCAGAGCGGGGGCAGGCCGGTTTTTGGGCACTCAGTCTCTAAAAGGTTCGCCATCACTGACTTAGTGTCTGCTGAGAATGTTGGATTATCTCCCCATCTTTGCAGACCAGCCTAGTTAGTGGGAAAAGTAATATAATGCAAAACTCTACTATGACCCATCTAGAAACTGAGAGATTTTAATTAGTTACGGGATGGAACATAATCACCTCTTTGCCTTCAACATCTGGTAGTTATACTAGCACTGAACCTGAATTTCTCACAACTAGCTGGCCTTGACTGATCGATCAGGAATGGGAGCATGTCACCTTCCAGGCCAGAGTTTTCCCTCAATCTTAGCAAATTTATGAAGTCTGGACTTCCATTTCCAGAATTCCCCAGCCATCCCTGCTGGCTGGGGAATTCTGGGAGTTGAAGTCCAGACTCCATAAAGTTGACAAGCGGAGAAATGCTACTCTAGACAGAGCAGCGGGGACTGCTACGAACTGGAGACGAACCAAATTTGGAGGGAGAAAAGTTCCCTTACCCCTGATGCACAACCCTTTTTAAAAAAAGCGAACTAGGCCACAGTCCGCCTCTGTGAAACTGATCTTGAGGAGGCGGCATGGAACCTTTCATAGTTACTGACCTAGAAAAAACCCCATTATTCTTTCAAATGAGCTTCTGGGGATACAAAGGTTCACTGCCTTGGCTATCCAAGAATGCAAAACACAAAAGGAAGTAGTGCTCTGGGCACTCAAGACACTCTAGGCCATTGCAAACATACTTTGGGGTAGAGTTGTGCCAAGTGCTGCAATGACCAACGTAATGAATGTTAGACTGAGGGCAGCGCTGCAAGTGATATTTCAGAGATTGTGTTGGCAGACAAAGCAGCAGAAACATTTGAGGTCAGCTTGTACCAGGCCAACTTAAAAACAAAGAAAACAAACCCACACAAAGAGCGCAAAACCAAAATTCTTACAAATAATGTGAAAACATTCTAAGTGCCCCTGTGTTAACCAAGTTATTGCTCTCTTGAACATTAAAAAAAAAAGCAAACAGAAACAACTGGAATGCTTTGTGGGTTTTTTTTGGTTGTTGTTCTTTTTCCCTGTATCTGTAGAACTAGGAACTTACCCCTTTCCTTCTCAGAATCATCAATAAAAACTTAAAAGCCTTAATTAACCCGTAGAATCAACTGCTAGAACAGGTCAAAGATCCTATCGGATTCTATTAAATGACAAATATTTTGATAAAGGATATCTACGGAAAGGATAAAAGGTAACCACAAAAATTATTTTGCTACAGCCAAAAACGTTCTTCTATGGACAGCTAATTCCAAACCTTCCCCAATGTGTTACTTATTTTTCATTTTCTGGCTACTTCTGTTAGATCTAGATATACAGCCCCACCTGACTTCTAAAGTTCAACATTATTTGCCTTCTTTTCATTAATTAATCAAAACAACTCTCACTACATATTCCTGATGGATCTTTTCTTTCTCTCCATTTTTTTTTTCTTTTTTTTTAAAAATACAGACAAGAATCCAAGGCACAGAGGGAAGAACTTTGCCTGCAAAGTGCCAAGATTCAAACAATATTTTCTCCAGTCTGAGTTACAGGGATTGCTAGATGGATCAGAACTGGTGAGAATATGTATCTGAACACAAGTTGGACTTAACAAATGGGAACATACACAGAAATTAAGGGATCGGGGGACTGCAGCTCTTCCGGATAGTCCAATTATGTCCTGAAGGCTGTGATACTTCAAATAAAATAAAATAGCATCAGAAAATCAGGACTTGGGGTCCACTAAGAAATTTGGTAAGATTCTTCATGGTGGAATAAATGCTATCTATATGTGACCTGCTCACCATAAAAAAAAAGTACAAATATCCCCTGTTTTGTTACATAATGCATTCATATGTTTAGTGGTCCGCTAATCCAGGTGTGTTGAGTTACTTTCAGATCCCACCTTGCTTGGTTTGGTTTTTAATCAGTCTGTGTGTAAATGTGACACACAGCCACACAGACATATATATATATACACACCTCCTCAGTCTCCTGGGTGAGCAACTGATGGAGTCTCTGGCCTGGGGAAGTCCAAGCACAATAGCCACACAGTCTCTTAAAATGCCAACGCACAATTTGTCTTCCTGTCATTAGAGAATTATGACCATCTTCAGCCGCTGGATGTCCATTCCTAATTGCCAAATGCGGAGATTGAGAAAGAGCAACAAAGAACAGATCCAAGATTTGGGAAACATAATTTTTAGAGAGGCCTCAAGGGAACTCAACCCACTCAGCTAACCACAACAAGGATTCTAGAAAAAAAAAAAGATTAATCTCAGTCCATCTAAACATAGGTTTCACGAACTTGGGCCTCCTAATTTAGCAGATGGCTGTAGAGAGTGTTCAATGGCCAGGAAATACCACTCTCCCCTAAAGCCAAAGATTTATTCAGGCAATTTTACACCTCGCCTAAATTACTCCACCAAGTCTTTGCATAGAGATTGGGATCCTTCCCATCTCTCTTCACTTGTGGCCTAGTCCGTGCAATCCAGCTTCTCTCAGTCCAGGATACCCAGATGTATGTGATTACAACTCCCATCTTCCCCAGGTTGAAGCGAAGGAGGAGGAGAGCCATTATCCAGCATACCTGGAGATCCCTGGCTGAGAGGAAGGATTGTGTAGGTGAGCCAGAAACAAAGGGAATCAAAACAATGGAATTACCAGGAAGTTCACTCATAATTAAATACAGTTAGATTATCAATAAATAATTTGATAGTTTTTCCATACAAAAACAGAAGTAATATATATACAGGATTTCAAAGTACCCCCAATATTCCTGTGAAGGACCTATCTGAGAAATAACCGAATATCGATATTCTGAAAACCCCACCTGGAACATTCTAAAGCTCTTACCAAAAGTCAGCACACTTTGAGAATTCAAACTTACCCAGTAGTTTTCTCTAAATCGGTGTGCTCCAGATGTATTGAACTATAGCAGGGGTAGGCAACCTTGGCTCTTTTATGACTTGTGGACTTCAACTCCCAAAATTCCTGAGCCAGCCATGCTGAGGGGAAAGGGAGAGGTTTCCAAGCTGAGCTATGCTGGCTCAGGAATTCTGGGAGTTGAAGTCCACGAGTCATAAAAGAGCCAAGGTTGCCTACCCCTGAACTATAGTCTCATAAATTCCCAGAAAAGCACAAACCACTGAAACTGCAGTTCAACACCCCTAGAGCAATGTTCCTCAACCATGGCTGCTGGAAGATGTGTGGACTTCAACTCCCAGAATTCCCCAGTCAGCAAGCTACTTGGGAAATTCCGGGAGTTGAAGTCCATACATCTTCCAGCAGCCAAGGTTGAAGAACGCTGCCGTACAGCATTCCAGGCAGGAAAAGGCTGCTCTGTATCACTTTGAGCTTACAACATCTTTAGTTATATTCAACTGAAAGCAAACTTTCTGGAACAGCCGAAAGATGACTGAAATCTATCAAAAGGGTCCTACACTCTTCAGAAACAGAAATAAAGGAAGGGTTCCCCAAGACACAGTTATCACTACTCCCTTCCAATGGGAGCAACCTGTTAAAACAACGGGATTGGATAGGCAAACAGCGGATTCTCTCGGTTGTGGATCTTCTCGTGTCTCTTATGGTGGGAGCTGTGGCTGAAACATTTGCCACAGAACCGGCAAGCATAAGGTTTCTCTCCAGTGTGGATCCGATGGTGCTGGACCAGGGTCGATTTGTCAGTGAAGCAATTCCCACACTCGGAACACACGTACGGCTTTTCACCGGTGTGGATTCTCTGGTGTCGAAAGAGGTTAGAACTGACGTTGAAGCTCTTCTCGCAGATGTTACACTTGTAGGGCTTCTCCCCTGTGTGGATGCGCATGTGCTTGATCAGGTCAGCGTTGTGGCCGAAACTCCGCAGGCACTCTGTACACGTGTTCAGCACTTCCGCTTTCTGTTTGGCTTTGGGCTTCTCGTCAACGGCACTGGCGTTGGCCCCGTCCACCGGGGCGCAAAGGTCTTGCGGCTCTTCCACCGGCTCCTTCGAATGCTTCTTCTTGTGAGAGCTGCGGCTGTAACTTTTGCCGCAGTCAATGCACTCGTAGGGCTTCTCGCCCGTGTGGATCCGTTGGTGCTGAGTCAGGTTGGACTTGTCATTGAATCGCTTGCCGCAGTCGAGACAGATGTACGGCTTTTCCCCGGTGTGGATTCTCTGATGCCTGTTGAGGCTGGAACGGACAGAAAAGCTTTTCCCGCACTCGGAACACTTGTGTGGCTTATCATCGCTCTGGACAGGCCACGGGCTGATCAGGCTGGAGTTCTGGATGAAGACCTTCCCACATTCAATGCAGATATCCGGGATCTCTTCTGTCTGGGTACCCCGATGCACCAAGAAGGCTTTGCGTTTCTTGATGGTATGCACTGGTTTCACGGGCCATGCCATAGATGGCATTTTCTTGTCCCTTGTTTCAGAGCCACGGGCTTGGCTGTGACCGGGGCTTAAGCTTAGCATCTTAAGCAATTTTCTTTTGGTCACCAGCTGTGAGCGAGCATCCTCAGGACTAAAGTTCTCCTCCATGTGGCTCATCCTGTGACCTCCTCTCACCTGGTTGGGGAGTCAATATGTTGTAGGTTTAAGGTTGGAGAATTCACACAACAGGAAAAACATCTACATTTTAAGCCTGCCCCACCCTCCCAAATGTAAGCCCACAGCATTCATAGTTCAGTGTTGTTCTCATATCTGGAAAAGCTGCATTCCTGGAAAATTTTCTGTGTGTGACCTATTATCTTCTATCTTCCATTTTTAAATTCATTTTCCACCAGCTCACCTACTTTTCTGTTAAAGACCTAATTTATCTACAGACTTGCAACACAAGCTACTTCTTCAAAAAGTACACACTGAACGATGTAAAAAAGATGCTGAGACCCTAGAAAGAGTACAGAGAAGAGCAACAAAGATGATTAGGGGACTGGAAGCTAAAACATATAAGGAACGGTTGCTGGAATTGGGTATGTCTACTTTAACGAAGAGAAGGACAAGGGGGGGCTGCCACAAAGAAGAGGGAGTCAAGCTATTCTCCAAGGTGCCTGAAGGCAGGACAAGAAGCAACGGATGGAAACTAATCAAGGAGAGAAGCAACCTAGAACTAAGGAGAAACTTCCTGACAGTTAGAACAATTAACCAGTGGAACAACCTGCCTCCAGAAGTGGTGAATGCTCCAACACTGGAAGTTTTTAAGAAGAGACTGGACAGCCATTTGTCCGAAATGGTGTAGGGTTTCCTGCCTGAGTAGGGGGTTGGACTCCATGACCTCCAAGGTCCCTTCCAACTTTATTATTATTATTATTATTATTATTATTATTATTATTATTATTATTATTATTATTATTATTATTATTATTATTATTATTATTATTATAAAATCCGCAGGACTCCTATCAATTCTATGCAGGAAAATCTATGCTACAAGGTTCAAAGAATAACCATGCTCTATCAACTAAAAATAACCTGAAAAACTTACCTTTGAGTTCTTGGTGCTCTCTGTTCTTGGTTATTTGCTTACAGACATTTCATTACCCAACTTGGTAACATCACAAGGCACAAGGAGGTTACTTAGTTGCATAATGAAATGTCTGCAAACAAACGAAGTTCAGAGAGTACCAAGAACTCCACAGTTCAACTCTGAGCTACAGATATTTTCTCTTATTGGATTTTACCTGTCTTTCTATGGTCATTTAAGTATTTTATCCCTAGGAAAACTGCTTGGGAGGCCACAGTATTTTGAAATTTGGAATGCATGTGCTAATTTATATGACCCCCCTCCCATTATTTTACTATGTTAACTTAAATGTTACTAGTAGCACGATATACGTGTGTAAGACAAGTTTGGTTCAGTAGGCTAGTTGGAAAGTTTGGGTTTTGTTCCACTTTTTTTTTTACACATAAAATAATATTCTGAATTTAAAATCCTGCATTCCCTAGAAAGGGTCAAGGGGACTGGATGGGTGCTGCAAACATTGGAGGCTGGACCAGCTTCTGATGTCTGCAAGCAGCAATTTACAGTACTTATAAAGCCAGACATATTTGCCTAAGTTTAGATTGGGCAGTCCTTAATGTCCTGTAACAGTAATAAAAAAAAACCCACTAATAAAATGAGACACTTCCCACTCAGGTAGATCTTCTGCTAGGAGCCAACGTTTATAAGTTCTACTTCATTTCTTCCTCAAACGAACAATCAAGCAAAGCACATCATCCTACATTGGACCTTATTCCAAAACATCTCATTTACTCACTACATAGGCAAGGGTCGTTTTTATTAAGAAAACAGGAAGACATCCAGAATACAAAGGCTTCCACTCACACCTGCTGTCACTAAGAAAACAGGAAGACTAAGCCTATAGTATAATATCATCTATCAGCGACAGTTTGCATTTCGCTCGGAATGGGAGAAAGGAACACAAGACAGTTCAGAAAGGAAAGGTATTTTGCGTATGCTCAGAGACACTATGCTTCCTCGCTTGCTCGTCCTTCCTTCCCACCCTCGGGGGGGATGGGGAGATGATCCCACCCTGGGTAGCAATGCAAAGACCTGCAACTCGACGCGCCGCTCTCCACCCGATTCCACTCCCGGCCGGGGGGCTTGGCGGGGACAATCTACCTTGTGCTCCCGGACGCCCGAACTCATAAAGGCGGCGGCAGCGGCGGGCACCGTGTCCCGCGGAGGGCGCAGACGGGTTGGCGGGGGCGGAGCAGCCACGGAGCCGCTTTGTGCCTCGCGAAATCGGGGTGCAAAAGGTCCGCGCGCGCCCGCCTACATCGCCGCCGCGAGCCGCCGGGCTTCGGGGGAAGGGCGCGAGAGGAGCCCCGAGCGTGCAACTCGCCCGCCTCGTCTACAATGGAAGAGCAGGAGGAGGAGGCGGCTGCTTGCAGCCAGGGCTACCTCTGACCCAGGAAACTCAACGCTGCCAAGCGACCCCGTTCAAACAAAGCCAAAAGCCTCCTTGATGCAAACGCCAGAGCCCCCTACTGGACGATGGGGGATCTCGCAGCGGCCTGCTGGGAACTCCCTGCCTCAACGGCAGAGCGAGCGCTCTTAAGGGCTTCTGAGCTTGTGCAGAGTGTCTTTTGAAGGAGGGTGCTTTCCTACTGAAGGGATTTTATTGTGCTTATGATTTTAGTATGCTTAAGTTTGACATTAGCATTTATTTTACATATAGTAACCATTTTATATTGATACTTATAGTGTTATCATGTAATCATTGTTTTGTTATTTTGTAATCATTATTTTGTAGTTAATTGCTTGATCAGATGCTTTATATATATATTGGAAAAGTAAGGGCTTCATGCTTTAGGTATAGGTCAGTGATGGTGAACCTTTTAGAGACCGAGTGCCCAAACTGCAACCCCAAACCCACTTATGCATCATCGAGTGCCATGTGGGTGTGGCCCATTGGGTGGGCGTGGCCCATTGGGTGGGCGTGGCTGCAGTGGTAACGGCAGACTGGGTGGGACTAAAAAGTTCAATCAATCAATTCCAACTTTGCAAGATCTTTTTTTTTCCCACGAGAAGTTGAAATTGACTAATTGATTGAACCTTTTTTTTTTTTTTTTGCACACGGCGGCGGAAGCCTAAAGCGAAAAGGTTTTATAAAACCCAGCTGAAGGCCTAGGACTGGGGCGATGGCGCGCGTGCCCACAGAGAGGGCTCTGAGTGCCACCTCTGGCACCCGTGCCATAGGTTCGCCACCACTGGTATAGGTGATTGCTTATATGAAAAGAGCACAGTAAGGGGAGGGAGGGAAAAGGAGTTACGGATGGAGCCTGGGTTGCTGTGTATGAGTCATCATCTAGGAATTGTTTTTTTGTGCCATCTTATGCCTAGTACCAAGACCTGATCTTTTTGTTCTGGAAAGGTATAAAAGTTGGAAGACATCTTTTCTGGTTGTTGCCTTCATCTCTCTACCAGCCACGAAGAGAGATGAGGGTCACCCAACTCTATTTTGATCAAAATAAAAGTTGTTTGCTTGCTGAAACCTCGACTCAGGAGTTTCTTTGGCTCTTTTAAATTCCTGAGTAATGCTGGGGCAGTTGTGAGGCTAAGTGGAAAACCTTACACTACCAAAGGCCTTCCAGTTGTGAGAGTGTGTGATCGGACGCAGGGAGGGACGGTTCTTGAAAATTCCTCTTTGTGTTCACGCAACCCACAAATTAGTCAATTGTGTGCGAATACAGACTTTGCAGACAGGGTATGATTGAATATAAACTGTATAATTAAAATATGCGATTGCAGCATCACGCATTCCTTACATTTGAGTAAGGAAGCTATTTGTACGTTGTTGTACGACGGCCGCTACGGTTGTTGTAAAACGTTTCACAGAGTAAACATTGTTTAGCTTCAACTGGTAGAGTTTACATACTGTATGGGATGATTTCTCCTTCCCTGCATCCCTTATTTTTCCCAGGTCTTTGGTTTCTGAGTGCCATTAATTGCAGTGTTATGCATTAATTTATTTGCATTTTTAATGGTTTAAATTATTTTAGCCACTTTAAGTGCTTTTTCAGCAGTAAAGTGGAATAACAATATATTTACTGAATGAATGAGCAAATAAATAATTGCCAATAAATGTTACAGGCTTTTTAAAAAAGCTATAAGATTGTGCCTCCCTATTTTCGTAGTCCACAGACATATGTATTTTGATGCATAATGCATAATATAAGGTCCGGAAGAAATGGTCACCGTTTAAGTAGCCATCAGAGGAAGAAATCGCTTTTTCTGCAGAAACCTAGTGTTGCTTCAGATCATGCTAGTTTGTGGATTTATTGGGCTGGGTTTTTGCTATTGCTTTTATGCCTTGAGACCTAAGTATGGAGGATATAAAACCATGTACTATTTGTAATAAAATATTGCATCATTCAGTACACATTTTTAAAAGTGGCCATGGGTATTGCAAAAACTCGCAAGAAAGTGATATGCATCTATCCTACAATTTCCTTTTGGGGTAAGCAAAGTTATGCAGAAGGCAAAAAAGTCAAAAAAGGCTTGGAGCTAAGAAAAGGAAACATAAGTAAAACTAATCTACAACACTGCTTGTCCATTTCTTTTAGGAGTATGTGTTGGGGGAGATTGAAACAGTCAAGATAGCCACAACTATACAATTGTATTCCCTTTAATGTGCTTGGCATGCACACAGAATAGCAATAGCAATCACTCTTAGACTTATATACCACTCCATAGTCCTTTACAGCACTCTCTGAGTGGTTTACAGTGTCAGCATATTGCCCACAACAATCTGGGTCTTAATTTTACCAACATCAGAAGGATGGAAAGCCGAATCAACCTGGAGCCAGTCAGGATTGAACTCCTGGCAGTGGGCAAAGTTAGCCTGCAATGCTGCATTCTAACCACTGGGCCCCACAGCTCAGGAAAGGGGGTGGAGCATTAA